ATCCGGTCAGCGGCGGGCACCGGCCCGCACACTCCCACCCACGGGCACCAGCCCCACACCACACGCACCAGGCCAGAACTCGTGTGGCCGCTCCCAGACCGTCTCGTCCAGGTGGGCACCTTGGAGGTTGGGGATGACAACCGTGCCCTCGGGGATGTCGTAGCCGGAGATGCTGAGGGCAGGGTGGAGTCAGAGGCCCGCCAGAGCCCGCCTGCCGTCCACTCACCCCACCTCCGGGAGTCACCTGCTGGGCCGCGTGGTGCGGTGTGGCAGGGCCAGGGGCACGACGGGCCGCAGGCGCAGCACCTCCGCGATGGTGGCGTTGAGCAGGGGCAGCCGCGCGCGGTCCTTGTAGGGGACTCCGGAGCACCCGGCCCCGGGACCCAGCTCACGGTCCAACTCCTCCTGCAGTCGCTTCTGGACCTGGGAAATGGGGAAGCCTAGTGCGGGCCAGCCGGCCCTGCAGCACCCACAGGAGCCTTTGTGCCCATTAGGAGGCAGCCCGGCCCGGCCAGCACAGCCTGCACCAGCGGAGGGGGCGCACCTCAGGGTGGTGAAGCAAAAACGCCACAGCCCAGGAGAGGGTGGTCGAGGTGGTCGAGGTGCCGCCGATGAAAAGGTCCACCACGGACATGTGCACGTGCCCCTCGAGGAGCTGCCCGGAGCCCTGCTCGGCCGGCGGCTTCCCCACCCCCTGCAGCATGTAGTCCATGGCGTCCCGCCAGCGGCCCGTCACCATGCTCTCCTGGGGAGGGAGGCTCCTGAGCACCGGCTGCCAAGCGAGAGCGGCCTCGCTCTGGGCAGTCCCGCGGCTGCGGGCTCGGGCCAGTCCGCGCGCGGTGCCCACCTTGTGCCTACTCAGCTGCCCCTCCACAAGGTGGTCCCTGCTCTCCACAGCCTGCTTCAGCCTCCGGAGGCCGGGGCTGGGGAAGAACTGGGCAGGGAGCAAGAGACAGTGGCTGCGAGAAGGGCGCCTGGCCCACCCGCCCAGGCCCAGGCTGGGCCCGGCCCCATCCTCACCCTGAGAAAGGGAACGATGTCCAAAATGTGGACGGACCAGTGGTCCCAGGTCCTCATCAGGTCCTGGACACAGTCGTGAAAGGTGTGCACCACGGCATCCTCCTGCGGGGGCCGGGGGGGGGGGGGCCAGGTCAGGGCCGGAGGTGGAAGGCTCAGGCGGAGCACGCGTGAGCGCAAGGGCCTTTACCTGGTCTCCAAAGGTGAGGTGACAGATGATGCTGCAGGTGAGGAGCGAGAACTCCTCCTGGATGGCCACCGGGGCGCCGGCCCGGGCCCGCAG